GCGGGTCTTGAACCCATGGACTCAGGCAATCCACTCACCTCAGCCTCCCAAAGGCACGGGATTACAGGCTGAGCCAGCGAGCCCGGCTGTTTACTTATTTTTCATTCCCACAGACTATAAGGGACCTTAATTGTTTGCTTAGAGCTTGGATGAGCTTGCACTGAGCACCCCAGCCCCGGCTGCTCCCCTCTCCAGCTTGATGCCCCGTCTCGGCCGGGCTTTTGGGGCTGCTCCCAACTTCCCTGGGCTTTGGGCAAGCTAGGGTGGACACTGGTGGGTGCAGGGAGTGAGGCAGGGCTACTTCAGCCCCTCCCATCTTGCAGTTTCTACAAGGCAACAGAAAGACAGACCCGTCTCCTCCGAGGGGCGTCTCTCCCAGCTGAATACAGGCCACCTGCCCAGCCCTACTGAGATGACAAGCCTGCAGGGCAGGTCTGTGGGGCCAGTGATGCATATGGACATGCCTCCCAGAGAGGGCCTCGAGGAACCCACCCGGGGGCCACAGTCCACTGGGCCCACAGACCAGAGCTATAAATAAATGTTTGGAAAGAAGTTTGAGCCGGGTGAGGAAGATGTCCTGGCACAGGAGGATGGAGTAGGGGTGCCTGCTGCTGGCCAAGCAACCCCATCTTACCCCACCCTTTCCCCCGTGACCCTCCAGACCACTCCCAGGTCCACTGAGCAGACCTTCTCTTGGAGAGCAGGTGTGGTTTATAGTCTGAGAATTGGACCTCCAGCCTGTTCTCCTTGGGTGCTGGGGCTTCGGGAGGGCCGGACACTGCACCCAGTGCAGGGAGGGCATCGTAGGCCCTGACTGACCCTGGCGACTGGCTGGGCCGTCTCTCACCCCATCAGCTCTCTCCTGACCTTGGCTAGACCTGGAGTACTGCTGCCTTCCCTGGCTCTAGCCCTGCCTTCTAGCCTGTGTCTTCCGTGCTGTTGGTGTCAAGCTGCACCTCGGAGGTGAGGGTGGTACCTGCCTGTGCTCTCCTGCTTCTGGCTAAGGCAGTTCCCTGCTCCTGGCATGGGGGTCCCAGGGAAGCAGTGTCACCAGTCAGAAGCAACACCCTGCGGCCAGCTGGGAAAGTTTCTTTGCCATCCACAGTTGCTCACCCTCAGGTGGGCTGCTGCAGACACAACCAGGGCCTTAAGGCCAACCCCTGCTGGAGAGACTCAGACCAGGGGCTGCCATGGCTACTTCCCCTATCCTTCCTCCCTAGGAAGACAGCAAAAGTGCACCCACACGGTAAGATGACGAGGTGGGAATAGCATCAGCCCTGAGGCCTAGCCCTTGACTGGTTCCAGCCCTTGCCCAGCTCAATTTGCTTCCTCCCATGCCCCAAAACCTGCAGGCAAGAGACTCACTAAGGGTCTTCACAGATGGGAGGGGACAGAAAAGCACAGGCGGGCTAAGCTCAGGCTGGGGTAGCAACTATAAGAGACAAGACCCCCTCACTGCTGCAGCTCACTCGAATCTCCCAGACTGAGGAGTCTCTCAACCTCTTGAGCTCAGGCTTCAGCCAGGTTCTAGGAAACCCCACCCTGAAGTCGTCAAAGCATTTTCTGCCTCAGAGGCTCCCACCTCAGAGAGAAGCCCAGAGTTGAGGATGGGGCTTCCCCCACCCCCAGTTCCTATCTCCCCCCTCTGACAAGGGAAAGGGACATCTGAGGCAAGAGGCCCACTTTGGGGTGTAAAGAGAGTGACAGAATCGCACAGGAAAGGAAAGAGTGGCAGGAAACAACCCAGAAACGGGTTTCTCGCCCTGACCTGCCATGGGCAAAGGTAGGCGAGCTTGATCTGTCAAGACCTAACGAATCTTCCAGTAATGATGTAACACTTGGGGCTGGACAGGAAGAGAGAAGCTACTTAGACAGTGGAGGCCTGAGTGTTGTGCCCCCGCCCCCCCACCCCAAGCCCATTTCTCCGCAAGCAGGAGGCAGAGCCACACCAGCCCCTCCTCCACTCCAGCTTGGCTCCTGTTTCTCTCCCTCAGCCCCACCCTGGCTGTGAAATGTCAGAAGGTCGGCTCAGTTTCCCTGGTCTACAAGCCAAATTTCACCAGGCTTGGCAGGGAGGAGCAGCCCAGGCCTCCTCACCCAGGCCTTCCCCCACGCCCACAGACGAGCCAGAAGCAACATTCCCCAGGCTGGCCAGGCCAGCCCCCACCATTCCTGCACCTGGGCCTGGCTGCTTGGCCCTCTCACCAGGCTGGGTCCCATATCTGGGCCGACCCCAGCCCAGGCCCCAGCAGCCTCTGGGGATGTCACAGCATGACCACCCACATGCCGACAGGGGCTGCCCCCTTCCAGCCTGGGAAAGCACAGGTGGGTAGGGGCAGAGGCCAGGGCGGGAGGAGTTGTCAGGGGTTTCCAATCAGGAAACAAAACTGAAAGGGCAAACCCAGCTTCCAAGTTTGTCAATGTGTCACATACAGAGGAGGCAGAGGACAGCTGGGCCCACCGTTCTGCTCCACAGGAGGGGCTGCCCCACAAGTGTGGGAAAATACGAGAAAGCCCAGAAACAGGATGGGGTGGCTGCCTTCCAGTAGCAGTCAGTCCCTCTTAGACCCCAGCAGAGGGTGAGACAGGCGGGCAGGGCAGGAAAGGGCTGCCCAGAGAGGGGCAGGAAAGGGCTGCCCAGAGAGCATGTGTAGAAGCACAGGGCAGGACTCGGAGAGGAATCCCAACCATGTCACCCACTCCCACAGCCAGGACAGGCTCCCCCAACTCACCTCACCACCTGCCAGACGGGAGGATGCTCTAGAAAGGGCTGCTGGTCAGGAATGGTTGACATGGCCCATTCTAAAGCCCAGAGGGCTGTGGGGATGGAGAGGGTGGAGGCAAGTACCTTCGGGGACCCACCCTGTTCTTATGGCTCTGATAGCCCAGGCTGACCTCTGGGTCATGGCCACGCCACAGGCCCACACCACCCTGAAAGGTGAGGACAGGAATGGTGGGGATAAGCTCAGCTGAAGGATGCCTGGAGGGGGGAGGCCTGGGGGTGGCAGGCAGGAAGGGGTGGAGCCATCAGGAGGCCACCAGACGGAAATGGCTTCCAGGGATGAGCACCCAGGGCTCTCCAAGCAGGGGCGACGCGAATGGAGCCAAGAAGGGAAGGGATGTATAGCAGCCAAGTAAGGACTCAGGCCTACCTCTCCCCTCCCCACCCGGACCTTGCCTGTGTGACCCAAGCCCGAGTGACCGCCACACGGCGCAAAATGTCCAGATCAGCCAAGGGGCAACAGAGTCCCCTGCCTCCAGCCACATCCCGGCCGAGAACCCCCCACTGTTCCTCTTCCCGAGGAGACCCTATCAAGAGAGATAAAAGCACCACACACCAGGGATGTTAGAAAAGTCTCTTTTTAAGTTTTTAAATTAAAATTTCACCCTGGTGAGATGGGACTCTGACTTGGGAACCAAACCCAAAAGGCAGGCTCTCCACTGCGTCCAGTGGGAGGGAGGGTGCCCGAGAGACAGTCGGCAGAGCTTTGACTCAAGCCACCTCTTCAGTCGCCATGCCAGTCCTGCACAACCGAGCTGGAGACGGGCGACGACAGGCAGGGTGACAAGAGCTATGGGGGCCACAACTGGCCCTCAGGGGTGGGGAAGAGGAGATGAGGAGAGTCCAGGGATGCCAGGAGGGCCTCGGGGTCCTTCTAGAACTCCTCACGCAGCTGCTATTCAGCTGCCCCCAGGACGACAGCAGTAGCGGTCCTCTTCCCGATTCCAGAAGCTGTGACGAGGAGGCAGCTGACAGTCACCTCTTGCCTGCAAGGTCGTCCCATCTGGTCTTGAAGCACACCGCTGCCCTCAAGACTGGGGCAGAGGAAGCGGTGCCAACCCCATTCTCGCATACACTAGTTATATTTATATATTCATATATATTATAGTTATATATTAAAAAGAGAAAAACTTGCCTGAAGAGAAACTCCTGAAGGACCCAAGTGGCTCCAGGAAGTTTACTGTCCCCCCCACCCACAAAAATTCTTTTATAAAATCTTCCAGTGCGATCTTCAGGAAACCCCCGCCCTCCCAGCCGCCCCCTCCCCGGCCCTCCTGTG